CTCTCCTCTTCACACCAACCCTCACCCTCACTCTCACAACGTTCCCTCACTTTCACCCCTACACAATCTCACCCCCCCCCTCACATGCACCCATAGGAGGGGGTGGGGTTAGAAAAACCCAAGAAATATACTCCTCCTTTATCAATGTATCCATAGATCAATAATAAAGTATAAAAAGTGAATAAAAAATAATTAAATACTTTTTACATAATTCATTATTTACATGAAAGAAATAAAAAAAAGATAATAATTATTTATTTATTATATTCAAACAACAATTACATAATTATAACATACAGTTTAATTGTTATGTGAAACTGAAAAATAAATCATGGTTAATAAAAAATGATGTATTTTTTGTTTTATTAATTTGTTATACTTAATTATTGATTTATGATACATTAAAGCATAAATATTGTATTTCTTTCATTTTTATATACAATGATTTATTCGATCAAAATTTATTTGGTAATTTAATCCTTTAAAATATAAGAGTACTTTGGTTTTCTTTTCAGTTTTATTAAGTTCAAGAATTAATTTGTTTACTTTTAAAAAGTTTAAAATTTTATTTACTTAAAAGAATAGGTTAAAAGATAATAATAAATTTTATTATCTATATTATCTTATAAAACAAATTTAACAAAAGTCTTAAAGTTTTAAAATACTAAATGACCAATATACCTTTTATATCATTTTTTCAGCCTCTCCTCTCCTCACATACACTCATCCCCTCACATACACTCACCCTCTCACAACCGATTTTTTTAAAATTATAATTTTAAATTTACACTTTATACCTCTATAATTAGTTAATTAATTTACTTTACGTTCTTTACTTTTAAATGTTTCATTTTAAACATTTATCAAATTAATATACATAATCGTATATCAATTAAAACATGTTTAAAAAATACATTTTTATTTTAACAAATTACACCATTATAATCGTCTCGTTAATACCTTCGAAATGAGTCTAATATTGAATAGTTTTTGACTTAATTATATTATTATATATTATATATATACTGTAAAAAAAATATTTTTAATATTTACGATTTATACTTTTATATATATATATATATTATATTTTGGGGTTAGGCTGTTCAAATTGCACTGTATAATATGTTCTGAATTAATATGTTATTGGGTTTTTATGAAATATATATATATATATATATATATATATATATATGTATTAATTCAACCTTAATCTGAGTTTCTGGACAAAAAAGAGGGTAAGCAGTTGAAATTTCATTATAAAATCCATATTTTTTGGTCTTTTTCATGTCTTATAATCTGTCAAATTTGTAGTTTTCTTTATTGGTTTTGAGTGTTTATCTTAAAACTCAAGTTTCTTGGTTCTTTGCTCTTGGTGTAAACCGAACACATTTGTAGAGTCGTTTAAATATGTTGGATTTTAAATAAATTGGATTTTAAATTGTTATACAATTTTTTTCGTCGATCGTCTGTAATTGGAACCATAACTCTTATTTATTCAAATGGTATTAATATGTAAAGACTAAGTGTAACATATATCATCATTAAATTTTATCTTATAAAACAATGAAACTTCAAAATTCTTAAAATTCATGGCTCCCGCTACATTACACGGATACACAACTAATTTTATTATAATATAAGTATGAAGTTCTTGAGTTTAAAGATAATGTTCTCACTTAGAGCTGACGTCGTCATCTGCTAATCATCTGAAAAACAGCCAAGTCAAGTACTAAGAGACAAAAATAATAAATGGGGAAAGCTTTGGACGGCGAGGTAGACAAGTTGGATAGGCTCCCCTCCTCTTGAGAATTTGTTGCCTGTGTGCATCCACAAATTCTATTTCCATGGTCTAGACCATTTTGCCGTTTTTCGTCATTATGATGTTTAAAAATATCTTTGTACCGTTTAAATTTGTTGAAACAAGTTAAATTATTTTATTATTTGTGGTTCAATTGAAATAGCCAAACCATTTGCTCTGATCTTGTTTGGAGTTGAATGTTTTTCTTAGGTACGGAACAAATCCACCGTTAAAAATAAATATATATTAATTATATTTAGTTTTCTTGTTTAGGCTTAATTTTTATGAATTAATCTATATTATATTATAAAGTATTTGACAAAAACTCTTAAAAACTATGTTTTATGCACAAAGTACTGTTTATTAATACATATTACTTAAAATTTAAGATTACAAGTAAAATGCGCATAAGTACAACTTATTAAAGCTCCATATTTGAATTCGTCTGACTAACTGCAGATAAACGTAATCAAATATTGAATAAACATTTCATTTTTAATATAAAAAAATCTAAAATATAATTAGGATAATCATTGATAACTAACAGAATACTTAGTTATTATCTTTATAAAAAAATTTATTATTAAACCTAAATTAAGTTTATTTGTTACTAAACCTAAATTAAATTATAATTAAAAAAATTAATTAACAAAATTACACCAAAACACAACAACTTTTAAAAAGATTAATTTAATACTGATATTGTCACACCCCGCTAAAACAAAAACACGAGATGTAACACCAAATAATAGATAACACCATTCAATTTACAAGATTAAAATTTTAACACCCATTGGAGTTAGTATAATCTTTTACAACAGTTACAAAATAAAATGAAATCGGTGTCATCGCAAAAGTGCTTCCAAAACTTCAATTCTTACTTAATTTCCTGAAAAACATGAAACATAAAACGACGTCAACTACAAATAGTTGGTGAGTTCATGGATTTTTCATATGCACAAAATATTTACAATGCATAAATCAATTCTTGCAAACTAATACATAAATTTGCACAAGATAAATGTAAATTTTTAACGATATTTAAAACTTGAGACGCTACTGAGCCTTACCTGACCAATGTGCCCCATTATTTTACGAACTACCATAAAGTGGCATACTCGCTCACTTAAGTACCACGGTTCGTATCAGTACTACTTCAGCGGTGGCCCATTCGCACACATGAGTAGACTATTAAACATAGGTAATGTGCACCCGTTTTTGGGTGGGACTGTCAACACAATAGCGGCTATCCACAATTACCACGGCCCGGGAACGTGCCCGAATTAACTAATAGCGTTTACGGAAAGGGACTTTTTCAAATATACTCTCAAGTATATCAATTTTTGACTAAGCAGTTCTTTAGACCAACAGTTTTACAACTATCAGTATAGTTTACAGATTTTCATGCTTTCCCCCGATTTCAATAATGAAAACAGTAAAAGTGGGGACGTGTATACTCACAAGTTTGCTGATGAATATCCAAGAACTTGATGACGTTTGAAGCACTAAACGTTCGCCCAAACTTTCCTAAACAGTCCGAAATCCAATAATTAGATCAACTATCGGGTCTCGATAAATATAAAGTCCAATTATATCTTATGCAATGCCAATGAGTTTTTAAGAGTCATTTCCTATTTATTTCCTCCCTTTTGCTATTATTAAATACCCAATTTTCTTGTTTTTCTCTATTATTCCAAAAATCTGTATTTTTTTGACAGCTCTGCCCACTGTGGCACCACTGTGGGAAGTCTTCCAGCCTTGCTAAAGCTTCTTGGGAAACGTGTAGCTTGAAGATTCCCCTAAATATTTTTCCTCCAGCTGTATGAGCTGTCTTCCTTATTGTATTTTATTTTCTTTTGTATTTTCTTTAACCTAGTACTAATTACCCTTGGGTAATGATTGGGTGTCCTTGCCCCCTTGCCTCTCCCCTATATAAAGAAGCTTGGGAGAGCCATTTTGAAGTGTGCCAAGATGTGCCAAACACCATCTTGTGTGGAAAAACACCATTTTGAAGACATTACTCTATAAATATGTTTCATCTCTTTTAGTAATTAATATTATGCTTTTTAAATGTTTTTTCATTTTATGTCTTTAATTTATGTCTTTAATTTCTTGTCTTTAATTTCTAGTATTTTACTTCCTTGTACTTGTAATTTAGTTTTACATTAATGCAATTTATATTTCAGTATTATTTTATGTCTTTAATTACTTTTATTATGTCTAGCTAAATTACTTGTATGGGTGTGGGTGTGAGTTTAACTTAGGATGTTCTTATAATATTTGAGTGTTCTTATCTTTTATCACTTTGTAACTTGGTCACTTAAGATGATGCTTAAAATGCGGATAAGCTGATCACTTTGAAGTGTTAATATTAGATCTTAGACCCAAAGATGGACGGATCCGAAATACGTCTTAAGTGATGCACAATGAACTCGAGAGAGTCTTTGAATAATTACGCGGAGACGCGAATTTTGCATGCATTTAGCTAGGGGTTAAGCTATAGGTATTTTCATCACAAAGAGATTTGGGTAAAATTTGCATTCCTTTTACTTTTTAGCTAAATCGGCAAGTCTCGAAGTGGTAAACGTAAAAACCTTATGACTTTTATAAGGTCCGGTTATAAAAGTTCACTTTCGAGAGATTGGAACTTTTATAAACAACTCGTAAAAGTCTAACCATTTTATTGTTAATTTTATCTTAAGCAACACTTGCACCCATGCCCATCATTTAATATTAGAAGTTTATTGTGTTAATTAGCTAGTCGGTCCTATTTCAGTCTTTTTATAAACAAAAATCCAAAGTTATTTTACATCTCGAAACTCGTGCAAGAAGTTCATGAAAAATCTCTAAATCTCAATCATACTTTCTCTGTGGGAACGATCTCGGTACTTTGTACCATTTTACTACTTGCAAGCGATCATAGTGTCGGCGTGCACTTGCACCGTCATTAAGGGGACATTCTGCCCACTAGGAAAACACAAACGATCCTAGCTTGTCAAGTTTTTGGCGCCGCTCCCGGGGAAGGTAACACGATTTTTATCCTGAGATATTGATTTTTCATTTGAGCCTTGTTCTTTTGTTTCACTCGTACTTCCCGTGTTGTATGCCAAGGCTACAATACGGTGAACTTTTACCTCTTGATCTTGAACTAGAAAGAACCATTAGGAGACGTAAAAGAGGTAGAAATAATCGTAACCAAACCATGGGGGATAATCCACCTCCACGGGAGGCCACGGTTAACATTGCCGATGATAAAAATAGAGGCATACGGGACTACGCCACTCCCGAATTTGGTCAGTTGGCCGCGGGAATAGGTAGGCCCGAAATGACAGCCACAACTTTTGAACCAAAACCCGTAATACTCCAAATGATTTCCGCAATGGGTCAGTTTGGGGGATTATCGTCGGAAGATCCGCACTCTCATTTAAAATCTTTTATCGAAATGACGGATCATTTTAAAATTCCCGGAGTTACACAAGAAGCCTTACGCTTAACACTTTTCCTTTACACATTGAAGGATAGAGCTAGAGCATGGCTAAGTTCTCAACCACCAAACTCGATAACTTGGAATGATTTGGCGGAAAAATTTCTGAAAAAAATACTTTCCTCCGACGAGGAATGTAAAAATTAGAAATGAAATTATGACGTTTCGACAAGAAGAAGATGAAGCGGTTTCGGATGCATGTGAGTGATTTAAGGACCTTCTACGGAAATGTCCTCATCACGGAATCCCTCATTGCATTCAATTAGAGACATTTTATAATGGCCTCTCTAGTTCCGCTAAAATTATTCTTGACGCAACGGTCGGTGGAGCGTTCACAGCTAAGACTTACAACGAAGGACATGACATTCTGGAACGAATTTCAAATAATAATACGGAATGGTCAAATCCCCGTGCTGTTGTTTCTATGTCTGCTTCAGGTATCCATGAAATTGATGTCATCTCTGCTTTAAATGCTCAAATTGTAGCTTTAACTAATTTGGCTAAAAACAATTTACGTTTGAATGGAGAGAATAATCAAGTTCAATCCATTATGTCCAACCCACCTATGCCTGAATCTTGTGTCTTTTACGGTGAGGGCCATTCTTATGAATATTGCCCCAAAAATCCCGTCTCGGTGAATTATGTTGGGAGTCATGCTAGAAATAGCCCATTTTCTCCCACATATAATTCAAATTGGAGGAATCACCTCAATTTTTCTTGGACCGGAAATCCTGGACTTCAACCCCCCGGGGTTACTCAAGTCCAAAATCGGCCACAAAATCCCCCGGGATATGGGCAAGGTGCTTCGCACAATTACCAAAATGGACAATCCTCACACTCATACATGCCTAGGCAAAATGCATTGGACGGTAATGGTTCACTCGAATCATTACTTAAAGGTTTTAAAAACCAAACCAATGCAACGTTAAGGAGTTTCGAAACCCAACTCGGCCAATTTGCCGCCGATCTAATGGGTAGAACTTTAGGAACTTTGCCTAGTGACACGGAAACCCCTAAGGGTAAAGAACATATCAAAGCCGTGACCGTGTTGAGTGAGGAGAGTTCAAAAGTCAATGATGATATAAATGAAACTGTCGAAGAACCGACACATCAAAACGAGGTTTCACATGCTTTTGATATGTCAAAATTTCCAATTTTGAGTCCTTCCACGAAAGAAACTCAAAAATCTGTTGTTGTCTAGAAAACAGTCCCTGTTTATGTCCAGAAAACAGTTCCTATTTCAACTTCCAGTAATGTGCATCTCTCTATCGAAAAACCCGACAGTGGGAAGATTGTGCCCACTGTCCAACCGAACAGATCCGTTCAAACAGCTCCAAATTTGCAGAATTTACCTTTTCTAGAAAGAATGAAAAGCAAAAATGTGGATGAGCAGTTTAAGAAGTTTTTGGACATCTTTAAACAACTCCACATTAACATACCATTGGTAGAAGCTCTCGAGCAAATGCCAAGTTATGTTAAATTTTTAAAAGACATTTTGCATAAAAAGAGGAGGTTGAATGAATTCGAAACGGTTGCTTTGACCAAAGAATGTAGTGCGTTCCTTACTTGTAAAATTTCTCCCAAATTAAAAGACCCGGGAAGTTTTACCATCCCGTGTTCGATAGGAGGAAAAGCAGTAGGTCATGCCCTATGTGATTTGGGGGCAAGCATTAATCTTATGCCATTGTCAGTTTTTAACAAGCTAGGAATAGGTGAAGTTCGTCCAACGACCGTGACTTTACAATTGGCGGATAGGTCCATTGCATATCCTAAAGCTAAAATTGAGGATATTTTGGTCCAAGTCGATAAATTTATTTTTCAGGCCGATTTTCTAGTTTTGGACTATGAAGCTGACAAGAACGTCCCCATCATCTTAGAACGACCTTTTCTTGCTATCAGGAGAACATTAATTGGTGTGCAAAAGGGGGAGTTGACCATGAGAGTTAGTGATCAAGAAGTGAAATTTAATATGTTTAATTCTCTTAAGTTTCATGGAGAGGTAGGCGATTGTTCAGTCATATCTGCTTTAGGTGAAGACCTAGAAATAAGTTTGATTGACATTCCCTACAAAAATAATATTGGGGAAAATCTTGAGGACATTTTGGAAGAAAATGATGAGTTGGAAGATTTAGAAGATTTGGAAGATTTAGCGGCATTTGAGCAACTTGACTTTAAGGATAGAATTGTCCAACCACCATCCATAGAAAAAGCCCCCGATTTAGAGTTAAAGCCRTTACCTAGTCACCTTAAGTATGTTTATCTTATGGAGGAGGAAAAATTACCCGTAATTATTTCTTCGAAATTAAGTAATTAACAAGAATTGAGGTTGATAGAGGTGTTGAAAGCTCACAAAAGAGCCATAGGTTGGACCATCGCAGATATTAGAGGAATTAGTCCCTCCCTTTGCCAACATAAGATTATCTTGGAAGAAAATAGAGTTGGCAAGGTGCAACCGCAAAAGAGACTAAATCCTATTATGAAAGAAGTTGTGAAGAAAGAAATCTTGAAGTGGTTAGATGCGGGTATTATATATCCCATTTTCAGTAGCGGATGGGTGAGCCCGGTGCAATGTGTACTGAAGAAAGGTGGAACCACGGTTATCACCAATGAAAAAAAATGAGCTCATCCCTACTAGGACTGTCACCGGATGGCGGATTTGTATGGACTACATGCAATTGAATCTAGCAACCAAAAAGGACCATTTTCCTTTGCCCTTTATTGACCAAATGCTAGATCGATTGGCCGGAAAATAATATTATTGCTTTTTGGACGGTTACTCGGGTTACAACCAAATTCACATAGCACCCGAAGACCAAGAGAAAACAACTTTCACTTGTCCTTTCGGAACTTTTGCTTTTAGGAGTATGCCATTTGGTCTTTATAACGCACGAACGACCATTCAATGGTGCATGATGTCAATTTTTTCGGACATGATTGAGGATACTATGGAAGTGTTTATGGATGACTTTTCCGTCATTGGTACATCTTTTGAAAATTGTCTTGCCAATTTAAAGAAAAGTTTGGAAAGATGTGAAACTCATGATTTAATATTGAATTGGGAGAAATGTCATTTTATGGTACAAGAAGGAATTGTTTTAGGTCACTTCTTGGGTTTTCTTGAAAGTGTCAAAGACACAACAAAACATTTTGCTTTCAAGAAAACCCAAGAAGTGATATTCACTTTTTGTCATTGGGTTAAAACATTTTGCTTTATTTTTTCTATATTTTTGTGTCTTCCAATTTTCCGAAGACATTTTGGTATTTCACGAATTTTTTCTCAACACTTTGGCATACAACCTCCCCCAAACTTAAACTGAACAATGTCCGCATTGTAGAAATGGGTTTAAAGTGTTTGGTTTTGCTAACAATGGAAAGTGTTTGGGCCAAAAAGAAAGATGGCCCACGTCATTTTAATTTTTGCAACCCAAAAATCTCATCAAGGAAATCGCACCTGAAAAATAAAGAATAAGCCAACGATATACCAATAAATTGTTAACGCCCAAAAGAACAAAAATAAGTTAGAGCTTGTATCAAAAGACCTAATCAATCAACGACCGCCATATATGAACACAAAAGGAGGCCGTCGGATAAAGTAAAACACCCAATCTAAAAAAACTGTTTTTGAGTTTAAAAAGATCATAATGAAACACCAAGGAAGACGATCAATCCCTTTTACCTGTATCGTCCCGACTGGCGGATGCCTCACCCGTGGCATCCGAGGTGGTAGTCCGTCTGATCTTTGGTAGCCGAACTTGGGGAGAACAAAGGCCTCCGGGAAAGCGTGGTATCTCCGAAGCAAGCATCACATTCTTGTGCGATAAAAATTTGTTCACTACCCGGTTCCGTTCTCGAGTGTACATCCAAAATTTCTTCGAACACTTTGTTAGTCCGGCAACTCGATCTTCCACATGCGTGATTCTCTCGGCTATCTTTGCTAATGCATCCACCATCGTTCCCATTTTCTGATTACATTCCTTCCATTGACTCGCCATGAGTGACAACCAAACCTCCGAACCATACCCCGTAGCCATAGGTGGTATCGGCGGGATGTCGGTATTGGTCGGAAGGGTAGTTGCGGTTGGTGAAGAGGCTGGAACAGAAGGGTCTTCAGGCCTTCGAGGACTGTTGGCAGTAGGTCCCAGTGACAGTTGCGGGCCCGTAGCATCGTCGGCTAAGTCGGCATTTTCTTGGTCCGGCTTGTGCATGCGGTTGACCGTACCTTGATTGAGCAAGGAATTGTTGAAGGTGATGATATCATGCTCCGAAACAGGTACTTTTGCGGCTGTCAACAACTTCGTGATCAAACCTGGAAAAATCAAACGTGAACTAGCTCGCACAGTTGATGTTAGTATCGTAGAATAAGCGAGAGCGTCCACGTCGATCGGGAGTTCCTTTAGGATGCAATAAACCAAAATACACTTCACCCAAGACAATGTACGATCATGCATGGAAGGCATGATATTGTGACACACAATTTGAAACCATAGGGCTGCCTCTAACGTCAAATGCCCGGACATCAAAATCTTCCGATGGTTGTCTTGCGACCAACCGTATCCGGGTAAAAGAAGGGCACGTGCAATATCTTCTTCCGACACATCAAACCCATCATCAATAAATTGCCGGTATGAACAAACAAAGGGAGCGGTGAGACCAAGCACCAAGTTTAACTTTGGTGCCGTCCAATTTACGCGCGTTCCTCGAATGACAATGGTGTCATTTTTTGAAGTCCCGATCGTCGTGAAAAATTCTTTCACTAACGTCTCGTTCACTTTGCATGGGATGGCTATCATGTTTTTCCAATGATGTGCAAGTAAATGATGCTTTACGCACATGAGTTTTTCACTAAGTTTCGGGTCAAAAGCCCGTTCACACAAAAAGAGATTATGGCGTATTAACTCCAACCGATCATCAAATGATGAAGATGTACCTCTCGAGCGTGAAGCAGTCCGTCGCCTACGCGGTGTCGGGACTGGAGTTTCTTCCTCTTCCGGCTCATAATCATCATCGAAAGCCTCCGTCACCTTTGCTTTACCCTTTTCCCGCCATTGTTGGGACCTAGTCTTTAACCCACCCGAAGCTTGACTCGACGAACGAGTTCGTCTCCTTTCAATAGTAGGGACTGTGAAGGGGGTTTTATCGGGCTTTTTACCGACACCAAAAGTTGACAGTGTCTCGAATGGGTAAGTTTCGGTTTGTCCTCCCTCCTGTATACCTTCAAAATCAAACGTGATATTGTCCAAGCCTTCATCCTCACCCTCCCCCATTTGGTTCAAATCGAACCGTGAGTGATCTGGGGAAGCCGTGGGTAAAGGGGCTAGGGTTGGTTTCTCATCACTTGGGATGGGAGTAGAAATGGGTCTTGAGGGTGCAATTGTGGGATGGGCAAATGAGGTACTCAATGAAATGGAAAATGGTTTTGGGTTTGAGGATGATTCGGCCAAATGAGATGATAGAGCCACCCTTGTAAGGACAGTCATACCATTATCATCGATAGAGAGTACGGTGGTGGTTGGGGTTGAGTTTTGTGTGAGTGAAGATGGAAGAAAAGAAGGACTTACAGTCGCTGGAGTGGGGTCGCGGAAGGCGGCAATGGTGCTCGTGACGATGGCACTGGCGGTGGAGGATCCTCCCGTCGCCGATGAAGATGGCTCGGCCGACGAGGTTGCAACAGGAACGTTTATCGTCGGTGGCGCAGCGGTGGTGGAAGCGGCGGCAGTCTTGCACCGGCGAAGTGAACGCGGGGATGGGTGGTTGCGGACTGGTTGCTTCGGTCTTGCCATGGAGAAATGATTTGGCCGGCGGTTTCTTGGAAGAAGATGAAGGTAGGCGAAGGGGAAAATGAGAAATGAGGGAAAAGATGTGGGGTTTTGGTTTGTGATTTTAAAATTTTAAATCTTGGGAAGGGAAAAGTTTAAAAGTTGATTTGAAGGACAATGATGGCAAATATTTTTTGTTTTTATTTAAAAAAGATGACCAACTTAGGATGATCTCATGCTTATGATGTCTCCTCAAAGGGGACAAATATTTGTACAAAATACAAGTATTATACCCAAAATTTTCAAAAAGACATAAGTAGAAAAATGCACACCTGAAAATTTTATTTTCAAAAATTCTTCAAAAATTTGTCATTTTTAAAATAAAAAAAATCTTGCTCTCCATCATCACCCTTGAAAAAAAATATGTAAAAAATTTCTTTTAACCCTCTTCCCATTTATTTTTCTTTTTCCAAATATTTCACCAAAGAAAACCCACATATCAAAGGCTAATCATCTACCTTGTACTTAGCCAATGATTCCAAAAAACTCTCTTTTCACAATCTCTCATGTTTACCTCAAGATGACATCATGTGTCCTTTCCTTAAACAATTCATTTCCAGCCAATTTCCCATTATCATGAAAAAAGTATGCATTTGTTAACACAAGAAAAAAATGCTGCTGTTTCCTCTTCTTAAAATTCGGATTACCCAGACAGTGGGCACAAACTTCCCACTGTCTACTCAAAAACACCAGATTCTTCCTTTATTATTTTTTTTACTTTTTCTCCATTCTTGCTTTCAAATTCAAATATTTACAAACTTTTGGAAATCCTTTTAAAAAATCACTGGGTTGGACAGATTATTTCCTCCGGGAGGAAATGCTTTATCTGATGCCCGTTAACTTTGAAAGTGCTATTATCTTGGGGATTTAAAAAATCTACAGTTCCGAATTTTCCCACATTGACAATGGTGAATGGTCCAGACCATCTCGACTTAAGTTTTCCGGGGAAAAGTTTTAGTCGAGAATTAAAAAGAAAAACTTTTTGACCACTTTCGAAAATTAGGCGATTTATCCTACGATCATGCCAAAATTTTGTTTTTTCCTTGTAGAGTTTGGCATTCTCGTAGGCATGAAATCTCCATTCTTCCAACTGATTAAGTTGGAATTTTCTTTTTGCTCCCGCCGAATTTGCGTCCAAATTAAATTCTTTTATCACCCAAAAAGCTTTATATTCCAATTCGAGCGGGAGGTGACATGCTTTTCCAAAAACTAACTGGTATGGCGACATTCCCAAAGGGGTCTTGAATGCGATGCGGTATGCCCATAATGCATCATCCAACTTGAGCGACCAATCCTTACGATCCGATCTTACAACTTTCTCTAAAATACTTTTAATTTCTCGTTTCGAAAGTTCGGCAAGACCATTCGTTTGGGGATGGTATGCCGTAGCTACTCGGTGTTGGATGTTGTATTTGGTAAGAACGGTAGATAGCATTCGATTCATAAAATGCGTCCCTTCATCACTTATCAAAGCTCGGGGCGTTCCAAAACGGACAAAAAATATTTTTATGTAAAAAATCGATTACCGTCTTAGCATCGTTCTTTGGGCACGCCTTAGCTTCCACCCACTTTGAAACRTAATCAACCGCTACCAAAATATACTGATTATTGAAAGACATAGGAAACGGTCCCATAAAATCAATGCCCCAAACGTCGAAAAGTTCAACTTCAAGAATGTTATTTAAAGGCATTTCGTTTCGTTAGGACAAGTTTCCCATTCTTTGACACTGATCGCATCTCTTTACAAAATCAAATGCGTCCTTAAACAATGTTGGCCAGAAAAATCCACTTTGTAAATTTTTTACGGCCGTATGTTGTCCACCGAAATGTCCACCATACGGCGCTGCATGACAATCTTTCAATAAAGAAGGAATTTCTAAATTTGGAACGCATTTTCGCAAAACTTGATCTGCTCCCATTTTGTAAAGAAATGGATCGTCCCATAAGTAGTGCTTACAGTCATGAAGAAATTTCTTAAAACGTTGACCGTKAAGATKWTGTGGCYTAAGCCCACAARCAAGGTAGTTGGCAATATCGGCATACCATGGAAGTTCATTTGGAGAATTGTCTTGAATTGCCAAAATGTACTCATCGGAAAAAGTTTCTTTTATCACATGGTTTCCCCCGCTCGACACTTTGCCTTCGATCCTTGATAAATGATCGGCTACTTGATTGTCGCATCCCTTGTGATCAACTATCTCTAGATCAAATTCTTGTAAAAGAAGAACCCATCTGATAAGCCTCGGCTTAGCGTCGGTCTTTCTAAAGAGATATTTGATGGCAAAGTGGTCCGTATGCACGGTGACTTTGGTGCCAATCAAGTAGGATCGGAAATGATCGAATGCAAATACTACCGCAAGTAATTCTTTTTCGGTGGTGGTATAATTTAACTGGGCCTCCATCAAAGTTTTACTTGCATAGTAGATGGGGTGAAAAATCTTGTTTCGTTTTTGTTCCAAAACTGCACCTACGGCCCAGTCGCTTGCGTCACACATAACCTCAAAAGGCATGGTCCAATATGGGGCAATGACAATAGGTGCCGAGACAAGAGCTTTTTTAATAGTTTCAAAAGCTTTTTTACAATCGGAGGTAAATTCGAAAGTTTGATCGACATGCAACAAATTACATAAGAGTTTTGCAATTTTAAAAAAAATCCTTAATAAATCTAAGGTAAAAACCCGCATGTCCCAAAAAACTTCGAATGCCTTTGACCGAAGATGGTTCGGGTAATTGCAATATTACCTCAAATTTTCCTTTATCAACTTCCAAACCATTTTTAGAAATCATGTGACCTAAACAATTCCTTCTTGTACCATAAAATGACATTTCTCCCAATTCAAAATTAAATCATGAGTTTCACATCTTTCCAAACTTTTTCTTTAAATTGGCAAGACTATTTTCAAAAGATGTACCAATGATGGAAAAGTCATCCATAAACACTTCCATAGTATCCTCAATCATGTCCGAAAAAATTGACATCATGCACCGTTGAAAGGTCCCCGGCGCGTTACAAAGACCAAATGGCATACGCCTAAAAGCACAAGTTCCGAAAGGACAAGTGAAAGTTGTTTTCTCTTGGTCTTCGGGTGCTATGTGAATTTGGTTGTAACCCGAGTAACCGTCCAAAAAGCAATAATATTCTTTTTCGGCCAATCGATCTAGCATTTGGTCAATAAAGGGCAAAGAAAAATGGTCCTTTTTGGTTGCTATATTCAATTGCCTATAGTCCATACAAATCCGCCATCCGGTGACAGTCCTAGTAGGGATGAGCTCATTTTTTCATTGGTGATAACCGTGGTTCCACCTTTCTTCGGTACACATTGCACCGGGCTCACCCATCCGCTACTGGAAATGGGATATATAATACCCGCGTCTAACCACTTCAAGATTTCTTTCTTCACAACTTCTTTCATAATAGGATTTAGTCTCCTTTGCGGTTGCACCTTGCCAACTCTATTTTCTTACAAGATAATCTTATGTTGGCAAAGGGAGGGACTAATTCCTCTAATATCTACGATGGTCCAACCTATGGCTCTTCTATGAGCTTTCAACACCTCTATCAACCTCAATTCTTGTTCATTACTTAATTTCGAAGAAATAATTACGGGTAATTTTTCCTCCTCCATAAGATAAACATACTTAAGGTGACTAGGTAACGGCTTTAACTCTAAATTGGGGGCTTTTTCTATGGGTGGTGGTTGGACAATTCTATTCTTAAAGTCAAGTTGCTCAAATGCCGCTATATCTTCCAAATCTTCTAAATCTTCCAACTCATCATTTTCTTCCAAAATGTCCTCAAGATTTTCCCCAACGTTATTTTTGTAGGGAATGTCAATCAAACTTATTTCTAGGTCTTCACCTAAAGCAGATATGACTAAACAATCGCCTACCTCTCCATGAAACTTAAGAGAATTAAACACATTAAATTTCACTTCTTGATCACTAACTCTCAGGTCAACTCCCCCTTTTGCACATCAATTAATGTTCTCCCGGTAGCAAGAAAAGGTCGTCCAAAGATGATGGGGACGTTCTTGTCAGCTTCATAGTCCAAAACTAGAAAATCGGCCGGAAAAATAAATTTATCGACTTGGACCAAAATATCCTCAATTTTACCTTTAGGATATGCAATGGACCTATCCGCCAATTGTAAAGTCACGGTCGTTGGACGGACTTCACCTATTCCTAGCTTGTTAAAAACTGACAATGGCATAAGATTAAAGCTTGCCCCCAAATCACATAGGGCATGGCCTTCTTCTTTTCCTCCTATCGAACACGGGATGGTAAAACTTCCCGAGTCTTTTAATTTGGTAGGAATTTTACAAGTAAGGAGCGCACTACATTCTTTGGTCAAAGCAACCGTTTCGAATTCGTTCAACCTCCTCTTTTTATGCAAAATGTCTTTTAAAAATTTAACATAACTTGGCATTTGCTCGAGATCTTCTATCAATGGTATGTTGATGTGGAGTTGTTTAAATATGTCCAAAAACTTCTTAAACTGCTCATCCACATTTTTGCTTTTCATTCTTTCTGGAAAAGGTAAATTCTGCAAATCTGGAGCTGTTTGAACAGATCTGTTCGTTTGGACAGTGGGCACAATCTTCCCACTGTCGGGTTTTTCAACAGAGAGCTGCACATTACTAGAAGTTGAAACAGGAACTGTTTTCTAGACAGAAGCAGGGACTGTTTTCTGGACAGAAACAGATTTTTGAGTTTCTTCCGTGGAAGGACTCAAAATTGGAAAATTTGACATATCAAAAGCATGTGAAACCTCGTTTTGATGTGTCAGTTATTCGACGGTTTCATTTATATCATCATTGACTTTTGAACACTCCTCACTCAACACGGTCACGACTTTGATATGGTTTTTACCCTTAGGGGTTTCCGTGTCACTAGGCAAAGTTCCTAAAGGTCTACCCTTGAGATCGACGGCAAATTGGCCGAGTTGCGTTTCGAATCTCCTTAACGTTGCATTGGTTTGGTTTATAAAACCTTTAAGTAATGATTCGAGTGAACCATTATCGTCCGATGCATTTTGCCTAGGCATTTATGAGTGTGAGGATTGTCCATTTTGGTAATTGTGCGAAGCACCTTGCCCATATCCCGGCGAATTTTGTGGCCAATTTTGGACTTGAGTAATCCCGGGGGGTTGAAGTCCAGGATTTTCGGTCCAAGAAAAATTGGGGTGATTCCTCCAATTTGAATTATATGTGGGAGAAAATGGGCTATATCTAACATGACTCCCAACATAATTCACCGAGACGGGATTTCCCGAGGTAATATTCATAAGAATGGCCCTCACCGCAAAAGACACAAGATTCAGGCATAGGTGGGTTGGACATAATGGATTGAACTTGATTATTCTCTCTATTCAAACGTAAATTGTTTTTAACCAAATTAGTTAAAGCTACAATTTGAGCATTTAAAGCAGAGATGGCATCAATTTCTTGGATACCTAAAGCAGACTTAGAAACAACAGCACGAGGATTTGACGATTCCGTATTATTATTTGAAATTCGTTCCAGAATGTCATGTCCTTCGTTGTAAGTTTTAGCTGTGAACGCTCCACCGGCCGTTGCGTCAAGAATAATTTTAGCGGAACTGGAGAGACTATTATAAAATGTCTCTAATTGAATGCAATGAGGGATTCCGTGATGAGGACATTTCCGTAGAAGGTCCTTAAATCTCTTCCATGCATCCGAAACTGCTTCATCTTCTTGTCGAAACATCATAATTTCATTTCTAATTTTTACATTCCTCGTCGGAGGAAAGTATTTTTTCAGAAATTTTTCCGCCAAATCATTCCAAGTTAGGATCGAGTTTGGTGATTGAGTATTTAGCCATGCTCTAGCTCTTTCCTTCAATGTGTAAAGGAAAAGCGTTAAGCGTAAGCCTTCTTGTGTAACTCCGGGAATTTTAAAATGATCCGTCATTTCGATAAAAGATTTTAAATGAGAGTGTGGATCTTCTGACGATAATCCCCAAACTGACCCATTGCGGAAATCATTTGGAACATTACGGGTTTTGGTTCAAAAGTTGTGGCTGTCATTTCGGGCCTACCAATTCCCACGGCCAACTGACCAAATTCGGGAGTTGCGTAGTCCCTGATGCCTCTATTTTTATCATCGGCAATGTTAACCGTGGCCTCCCGTGGAGGTGGATTATCCCCCATGGTTTGGTTACGATTATTTCTACATCTTTTACGTCTCCTAATGGTTCTTTCTAGTTCAAGATCAAGAGGTAAAAGTT